AACCTAACCATCTTTCCTTAGAGGATGAGGCTTTGGGGAAACCAAACCCAAGGCTTGTAAACCTAACCATCTTTCCTTAGAGGATGAGGCTTTGGAATAGTTCTATTGTTGCTGTCTTCATTTCTTCACTTTTTGCTTCAGAATTGTCTCCAAGATGAGCAACTCCTCTTTTAATGGTGGAAGTTATGGTGGTGTGCCATCAAGTCGGTTCCGACTCCTAGAGACCTGGTATAGGGTTTCCAAGACAGTAAATCTTTACAGGAACAGAATGCCTAGCCTTGCTCCCGCAGAGCAACTGATAAGACTTGAACTGACAACCTGCGGTTAGCAGCTCAGTGCGTAACCACTATACTACCACGGCTCTTACACTGCCTAATTCATTTGCCTTACTTAATAGCAAAATCAGAACTTAACTGATTTCAAAATCCAAATAACTTTTCCATTCTTTACTGAATGTGTTATACAAAGCCACTAATGACTATAGGAAAAACACCCATTTCCTGGTACTGTGTGTTGGTTTTTCCTGTGGGAATGGTCTATTGCTCTCCTCCTGATCCTGAACTAGGTAGGGGTTCATGGTTGGGAAGAGCCCAGGGTGCCTGGAAGGTCAGATGTGGGGTGTTGGGTGGTAAAAGACAGTAACAGCCAGGGGCTAAGAAGCCAAAGGACATGCTGTCTATAGGACAGTGCAACTGTCCCCTCAAGGGTACTGTGAAGCCTCAGAAAATATGCAAAAAGGGAGCCCAGCCCTAGCCGCAAGCCAGCTGTAGAAGAACCATCTATACTTTGAAGAGCCAGTACATTCCTTCAGGTTGATTTCTTTACATTTCTTAGTATTTACAAGGTCTTTTTGACAATGTAGTACTGTCAGCTGGGATAACAATAAAGGGGCTGTGGCAGGGTAGTGGCCCCAGTGAGGAAAGGGGGATCCTTGTAGAGTTAGTCTTCTTGTCCACACCGACTCGGGCTTGGCCACGTGGCTTGCTTACATGATGATCTTGTCATTTTGGAAACCAACAAGCCAACCACCAGATTGCTAAGAAGCGTGGGCAGAACTAGCAAATGATAAGCCACCGAATGGGAAGAGCATCTTGACGTCCCTGCCTGAATGCAGGGCGGACACACCTCATGGAGCAGTGAGACCACCCACCAGTACAGTAAACACTGGGAAATGCTGACTCACTTCTGTTACACAGTATAGGCAGACCTTGTTTCACTATGCTTCACTTCAGTATGCTTCGCAGATGCTTCATTTTTAACAAATTGAAGGTTTGTGGCAATCTTGCATTGAGCAAGCCTATCAGGTGCCATTTTCTAACAATATGTACTTACTTCATATCTACCATACTTTGGTAATTCTCACAATATTTCTAACATTTTCATAATGCTACTGCACTTTAATAGCCTATCTCACCACTGCCATCAAGTCGATTCTGACTCGTTGTTATTGTTAGGTGCTGTTGTGTTGATTCCAACTCACAGCGACCTCATACTCAGCAGAATGAAACGCTGTCCAGTCCTGCGCTTGAGCTCATTGGTGCTGCCACTGTGTCAATCCATTTCATTGAGGGTCTTCCTCTTTTCCACTGACCCACCACTTTATGAAGTATGATCTCCTTTTCAAGGACTGGTGCCTCCTGATAGCATGTCCAAAGTATGAGAGAGAAGACTCCCCACCCTGGCTTCTAGGGAACATTTTGGCTGTACTTCTTTCAGCACAGATTTGTTTGTGTCCATGATACCTTTGATATTATTCTCTAAGACCATAACTCAAATGTATCAATTCTACAGTCTGCCTTATTCATTGTCCAACTTTCATATGCATGAGTCCATTGACAATACCATGGCTGATGTCAGGCACAGCTTAGTCGTCAAACTGGTTATGTTTTCTCTTGAATACTTTAAAGAGATCTTGTGCGGCAGATCTGCCAAATGTAATACATCGCTTGATTTCTTGGCTGCTGCTTCCCTGAGTGTTGATTGTGGACCCAAGCAAAATGAAGTGTTTGACAACTTCAATTTTTTTTATCCATTTATCATGATGTTAATTATTGGTCCAGTCGTGAGGACTTTTGTTTTCTTACACTGAGGGGCTATCTTTGATCTTCATCAGCATTTTAAGTCTTCTTAGCTTTCAACAAGCAAAGTTCTATCATCTGCATGTCGCAGGTTGCTAATGACTTTTCCTCCAATCCTGATGCCATGTTCTTCATACAATCCAGCTTTTCCAATTAACTGCTCAGCATACAGATTTAACATTGTTTGTTAAGTGCCATCGAGTCAGTTCCGACTCATAGCGACCCAGTATAGGGTTTCCGAGTGGCTACTGAGTTTGAACCACTAACCTTGTGGTTCAAACTGACCTAGTAGTTCTGCCCTTATCCTACAGCACAACACCAGGACTCCACAAACTAAACAAGTATAGTGAAAAGATACAACCCTGCCATATACCTTTCCTGATTTTAAACCATTCAGCTTCTTTGTCTATATACAGGTTCTCAAAAGCACAATTAAGTGTTCTGGAATACCCATTCTTGGCAATGTTATCCATAGTTTGTCATGATCCACACAATCGAAAGTCTTTGCATAGTCTAAAAAGTACAAGGAAACATCTTTCTGGTATTCTCTTTCAACCAAGATCCAGCTAACATCAGCGATGATATCCCTTTCCAGCAGTTCTGCTGGCTTACTGTTACAATCATTTTCTGAATTATTTTCAACAAAATTTCACTTATGTGTGGTACTAATGGTACTGTTCAATGATTTCTGCATTCTGTTGGGTTACCTCTCTTGGGAATGGGCACAAATATGAACCTCTTTCAATCAGTTGGCCAAGTAGCCATTTTCCAAATTTCTTGGCATAGAAATTGGAAGATTTCAATTTGTATTCTGTCAATTCCTCAAGCCTCGTTTTTCACATATGCCTTCAGTGCAGACTGGACTTCTTCCTTCAGTACTAATGGCCCTTGATCATATGCTACCTCTTGAAGTGGTTAAGCACTGACCATGTCTTTTTGGCACAGTGACTCTGTATCTTCTTTTGATGCTTCCTATGTCATTCAATAAGTGCCGTCGAATCATTCCAACTCATAGTGACCCAGTATTGGATTTCGGAGGAGCAGCTGGTGGTCTGAATTTTGCCCATATTCCTTCAATATTACAACCTCAGGCTTGAATTTTGTCTTCAGTTCTTTCAGCTTCAGAAATGCTGAGTGAGTTCATCCTTTTTCGCTTCCTAACTCCAGGTCTTTGCACATTTCATTATAATACTTGACTTTGTCATCTTGAGCTGACCTTTGAACTTTTCTGTTCTGCTCTTTTACCTCCTTTGTATCTTCCATTTGCTTTAGCATCTACACTGGAGAGCAAGTTTCAGAGTCTTTCCTGACATGCAGTTTGGTCTTTTCCTTCTTTCTTGTCTTTTATTGTGATTTGAGTGAAAGTTTACAGGGCAGATCATCAGTTTTACATTCAACAAATCATATACTTTGTTTCATTACAATGATTATTATCCCCCCTTCCCCCTTTTGCTTTCTTTCGTATGATGTTATTGATGTCATCATAACTCTTCTGGTCATTGGTCATTAAAGTCTAACACATCAAATCTGTTCTTTAGGAAGCCTCTAAATTCAGGTAGGATATAATCAAGGTCATATTTTGGCTCTAGTGGACTTTTTAAATTTTCTTCAGTTTCTGCCTGAACTTGCTACTGATGGTCTGTTCCAGGTCTTGTTTAGGCTGATGATATTGAGTTTTTCCACCATCTCTTCCCACAGATATAATCAATTGATTCTGACTCATAGAGACCCTATATAGGATTCCCAAGGTTGCAAATCTTTAGAGTAGCTGAAAGACTCATCTTTCTCCTGCAGAATGGCTAGTGGGTTTGAACTGTTGATCTTATACTTAGCAGTGCAATGCTTATCCTACAGTGCCACCAGGGATCCTAAATAAACAACAAATAGTATAAACACTGTTGTAATTGTTAAGTGCCATTGAGTCGATTCCAACTCATAGCAAACCTGTATAGGGTTTCCAAGGAGTGACTGGTAGGTTTGAACCACTGACCTTGTGGTTAGTAGTGCTGTGCTTACCTTACAATGCCACATCAGAATTGGAAAACTCAAATTTCATGTGACTCGCTGTATTTCAATATTTATTGTGGTGGTTTGAAACCAAAACAGCAGTATCTCCAAGGTATGCTTATAATACACATCTAGGTGGAGTCCTGGTGTGGCACTGTAGGATCAGCACTGGACTTCTAACAGCAAGACTAGCACTTCAAACCCACCAGCTGCTGCTCAGAAGCACGACACAGGACTGCCAGGAGGTGGAACTATCTAGACAGCCCTTAACAACACGAAGCTGAAGAAGTGAAGAATCAGTACTATTGAACATTTTCTATTTGCCAGTGTGCTAAGGACTATTTACATGGACTATTTCACTTAATTTTTACAACCATGGTTTAAAAATATATATAGGTATCATTGTTATCCCCATTTTACAGAGGAGAAAAAAGGAGACCAGAGAAGATAAGGCAGCAGAGAAACTAGAGAACTGGAAATGGAATTACCAGCACACAATTAGATTATGGACACATTGTTAAAAATGTAGTTAATGTCACTAAACAATTTACATGTTGTTGTTGTTAAATGCCGTTGAGTCGGTTCCGACCCACAGTGACCCTGTATAGGGTTTCCAATGAGCAGCTGATGAGCTTGAACCGCCGACCTTGCAGTTCAAACGACTTTGCAGTCCAGTGCATTAACCCAGAGCGCCACATCAGGACTCCAACAATTTATATGGAGATGGTCAAATGAGAACTTAACTTGCTGTGTAAACTTCCACCAAAAATACAAAAAAAAAATTAAGGAAAAAAGGCCCAGAAAAGCATAGTACTTTGCCTAAAATCACCCAATTTATCATCTAAAAACAGGTTCAACAACTCCCTAGGCCAAATTCAGAATAACAAGCCTCACTTAGACCAGTGGTCTCACCAAGCACCAGAGCTCAGTGGCGGTGACCATGGAGAATCCTTCCTGTGCTGTTTGATTTGTGAAGCCATGCAGCCCCCCTGGCTTGCATTCAGTGAGTGAGGCCCTGGGAAATCAGGCCTGTCCTCCCCCTCTGCTCCCAGTGTCCAATGTGTAACAGGCTCGTCGCCTGTTCAGGGAAAATGTGAGCGGGAACTGAAACGTGGTCCAATAATGGTCACAAGTTTTTAAGTGGACACTTACCTTGCCATCCCAGCACATTTCTGGAGAATTCAACCACTGCCAGCTGCATTCCTAAGCACACACCTTTCAAGTGGAGGAGGAAAACAAATCAAACTCCATTGAAAAGGCAGCTCACACGTTTTAACCAGCCTGGCTACAGTGGTCCTATTTTGTCCCAGAACTAAAATCACCATCAAAGCCCCACCATTTCCTTCTACCAACACCTCCTGCTGTTAGGTGTTTGTCGGTACCACATTCCAAAACCTGGGTCTAAGTTGTACACAAGACTGCCGAGTTTTTAAAAATGATCCCTTTTACAGATAGGCAGTGTCTTTTAGCACTTACAAATTCAAGTTATGAAAATCTCTCACTTAGTCCCCACTTAAACTGACCAAGGTGAAAATTACTAAAATGCACAGCGCCAGGCAGCAGCATCCTAAATTACGCTGCCCAACTATGGTTAGCACGTGCCGCACGAGGAGGTTATGAAGTTGGATCTCACCTGAACCATCAAACAGCTGGAGTCCAAAAGTGAACAAGACTTCCTAATATTTCATTCCACCCAAACCTCCAAGGTCTCTACATAGCTCACAAGCTTGTCCATATGAAAGGTTTGAATTTGAGTTTGTTTCCCACAAACAGAATAAAAAAGGCTGAGGTGTTGTCTAGAAGATGGCAGCTCTAGTTGGTTTCAATGACTATGTAGTTGTCACCCAGCACCTTCTCTTGCTCTTTCCTGCTCAGACTGAAGAGTGTGTTGCGTAGCTCCTTACCCAAAAAAGGCTTTCTCTGTTTTCGAGCCCAGCTGATTGCTTGGATTTTCCCTTCCGTTCCTCGAACACCAAACCCTCCTGGAACCAGCACTCCACTGCACAACAGAACAAAGACCATAGCAGCTCCCTCTCCCAGCAGCCCAGCTTGCAGGCCACACCTGCACAGCCGTGACCGCAACACTGGTGCCATGAAGCTACTCTGGATACTCTGCAGCTGGCACTGTGCTATTTAAAGACTGTCTGAGGAGCTGAAGGTAAATGCCAGGAAAGTAGCAAAGCTACAAAACCATGGACTCTTCTTTGTAATATTAGAAACTTATGACAAATGGGAAAAAAATACAGTATACATAATTTTAAAATACAGTATACTGCACAATTTAATATTTGCTTCAGGTACTAATTCTTTCATAATGGTTCATGTGTTTTCATATCAGGGTCACTGTGAGTTTGGGTTCCTTGGTTTACAGTGCTCCCCCCCAGCTTTCTGGCTAGCATTTCTGTGTGTGCTAGAGTAGGAGGGGTCTCTGCACCAGCTCAGTGTGCCAACTGATCAAGTCTCAGGAGTAGCTCTAGAGGCTCTGTAATTTTTAATTGTTTAGTAAAATGGAAATCATTCTTAATTCTTTACTATTATGCCAAAAGCAAACAATTTATGAGCATTTACTTTTATGAAATGGAGTCCTTGTGTGGCACTGTGGGCTAATGTGCTGGACTACAAAGTTAGGTTTGAACCACAATATCGGGAGTTCAAGTTCACCAGCTGCCCCTCAGAAACCCCATACGGGGTCACTATGGGTCAGAACTAACTCGATGGCACTAAACAACAACAACTCATCATACGTTATGGATGAAAACACTCTAGATAAGCCTTTTCAACAGATACTAACACAGTACACCAATAAAATTAGGACATGTTTTTCCCCAGACTTAACTATATTGGTAAATTGTATTTTGTTGTTATGTGTCGTCAAGTCAGTTCCAACTCATAGTGACCCGTTTATAGGGTATACAATGAGAGGCTGGGGGGTTTGAAATGCCAACCTTGCAGTTAGCAGTCCAGTGCTTATCCTACAACACCACACTCATTTAGTATGCAGCCTTTTCAATAATTAGAAATAATTTGAACAAGCAGATAAATTACTACTTGGACTCAAAAGAACAGTACCTTGTTCTTTATAAAACAGAACAGGAAATCAGAGGAAGGAAACAGGGCTTACTGGGCACTGCAGAGCTTCTGCCAGGCTTCGTGGTACCGCACAGGCTCTTCCTGCAAGGTGCTGGGCTCCAGGTCTGTAGAATCTATGTACTGGGAGGGAGAAGCAAGCTCATGACTACAGAGATATATTCTTTCATAATTTTAACACATTACCAATGTTCCATCTTTCTTAATTTTTTTAAAATAATCATTTTAAGTTTAAATCATTATAATTGCAAAATTAAAATTTTTTTAAAACTCTTTCTGATATTTTAATATACAAGCGTTTCCTTCAAATCCATCCTACTCCCAAATGCAGCTCTCTATCTGCTGCACATTTGGGTTTTACTTAAGATCCCATCTCCGCTAAGCCACTGGAATAAGCGACAATCTCCCCACTTCATCTTCCACCTAGACTTCTTTCATTTGTTTCTAATTTTGACAGACAATAAAGTACAAGCTTTTTAAGTGGCCCACCCCCAATCATCCCCCCAAATTGAAGGTACTGTCGCTGTTCTTTCAAAGATGAGGAAACAGAGACAAAACGACGGTGAAGTCACTTGTCCAGGGTCACACAGCTTTAAATGGACTGTCTGGCTCGAGAGCCCACACTGTGAACCTTGCTCAGCACTCTACTGCCCAGTGCAGAGTCCAGGTGGCTGTTGTCCTCACATTCCACAGCTCAGTTGCTACCCAACTACTTTATTGTTGTTAAGTGCCGCTGAGTCGATTAGAAATCATAGCAACCCTGTATAGGGTTTCTGAGGAGCAGATGGTGGGTTTGAACTGCTGATCTTGTGGTGAGCAGTCCAGTGCTGATCCTACAGCACCACCTTTCCAGAGCAGGACATAATAATCAGTGTTGACTGAGTGCCGTCCATGTTCCAGGCACAGGCTGAGTGATTTGACACACATTTCTGAGAAAGCCCACCAGTCCAAGTCTGTGAGATGAATATTAGTATTCCCATCTTACAGATGACTACAATGGTACCAGTACTAGCTAAGAAAGGACCCAGTGCCTCAAAAGAGTGGCGTCAGAATCACGAGGCATCTAGAATGGTTTGCAGACACTGCCTACAACTGTGCAATTGTGCCTCTGGCCCATTTTCATGGTCAAGGTTATTTGGTCCCTGATATTCCAATCCAAGCATTCACTTTGTCTCAGCATCTGCTCTAACCATGTCTCCCCTTCATTCTTTCCTGAATATGCCTTACTATTCTAACAAAGCCAAGAGCCAAACACAAAATCTTCATATTCCTAAAAGGAAATTTTGAGCTCCAAAAACATGAAGCAGATATGCACACAGAATCTACCGGTATGGAGACTGTGTCCCTGTTTGCCGATTGGCTGCACCCACATGGACCCTCCGTACCTTGATTTCCAGTTTGTGGTTGATGGCCAGAGCAGAGTGCTCCAGAGCCTTAATGACAGAAGCATATGAGTCGGAGAACTTGGTGTATTTGCCTACAAGGGCAATGGAGCATGTCTCCAGCAAGCGATCATATCTACAAAACAAAGGTTAAGAAACATTCACTTACTTAGAACAGAACATACACAATCCCATGAGCTCAAACTTGCTTTTTAAGAAGAAAGCATGTTGAGAAGAATATAATGGGAATGGAAATTAACTAAGTTCTATGCATAGACCAATACACAAAAAACAATTTTAGATCAAGATGGTATGGTTTTCGGGAAAGTATATCCCAGAAACTGTTTTAAAGAGACTGGTTTAAAATCTCACACAACCTGGATGAAAATCTTAAAGATTGAAAAAATTAAGACATGAATGGACAATTCACAAGAGTCAAGGTGATTATACTATAGAATGGTCAGCTATTCAAGGTCAAAAGGACATTTACCAAAGGACAAAGTTCAGACGGATAGAGATAGCAGAAGGAATGGAAAACCAGGAACACAGAGAGGAAGTAGGTAAGTGGTGTTATATGGAGGGGACTGCACTCACTGAGATGAAATGAAGGGTATGATCTGGTGAATGTAAAACTGATGATAAGCTCTGTAAGTCTTCACTCAATTCACAATAAGAAGTTTTTTAAAAAAAAGTTAAGTGTGATTAGTAGACCAACCAATATAAAGAAAATTATTTAGCCCAGCTAGCGGCATAGTGGGTTACGAGTTGGACTGCTAACTACAAGGGTAGCAGCAGTTCAAATCTACCAGCCGCTCCTCGGGAGAAAGATGAGGCTTTCTGCTCCCATAAAGATTTACAGCCTCGGAACTAATTCTGTGGCACATCACTACCACCTGCTGGGTCTGGGGAAGAGAAGGTGGGAGAAGATTCAGCTGTGGATGATAGTTCATTGTAATTGTAAAAACTTGAAACTCTAGCATAGGTATAGAATGAACCATCTCAGAAGCAAGAGGGGGGAATGTCACTACCATCAAATAACAGCCAGGAGTGGAGTATGTCATTTGGACCCCAAGATCCATTGAACCTCCTGGACCCAGGGACAGAAAGCTGTGACACTTGAGGAGTGGCAGAGCAGCAGCAGAACCAAGAACCAGAACATGAGACAGAGCCGTGGGCTTCCCTGCCCATGGAGCAAGTACAGCTGAGGTACCTCCAGGCACTCGAGTGTGGGAGCTAAGCTTGCTGACCCAGGAACTAGAGCCGAGTGCCTTCAGGCTGAGGTCTGTCTTGTGGTCTGCACAAGATCAGCAGCTAACTGGAACAGCTGTGCTTGAACATGCCTGACCCCGAATTATAACTTAACTTGGCTCCTGAACTCCAGAACCGTGAGTAGGCTGTCTGAGTGGTGTGTGGCCAGTGTAATGAATTATCAAACCCAACAGAAAAGCAGAGAGTGCTATGGGAGGACTGGTTGGTGCCACATTTATTTTTACAAACAAAAATATCAAAATGCGAAGCTATTGCTTCTCAACATATCCTCCATCTAACTCTACACACTCTGAATGCCGTGTTTTCTCACTTCTTTAACCTTCCCCTGGTGTGGCACAGCAGGATAAGCATTGGACTGCTATCAGTAAAGTTGGCAGTTCAAATCTACAAGCTGCTCCTTGGAAACCAACTCTCTACAGGGTCACTATGAGTCAGAACCGACTAGATAGCACTTAACAAAAATAAACTTTCCCAAAGAATTTTGTACTCTTAGATATACAAACTGTCAAAACAGCATTATTGGCATCCTCTATGAGCTTGCTGAAAGTGAAGAGGGCTTAAAATATTTACTGATGAAGATCTTGGCATCCTCTATGAGCTTGCTGAAAGTGAAGAGGACTTAAAATATTTACTGATGAAGATCAAAGAGCACAGCCTTTGGTATGGATTGCATCTCAATGTAAAGAAAACAGTCCTCACCACTGGACCCATAAATGACATTCTTCTCAACGGAGAAAAAGACTGAAGTTGTCAAGGACTTCATTCTTCTTGAATCAACTATCAACACTCATGGAAGCAGCAGTCAAAAACATCAAACGCTGTATTGCATTAGGCAAATCTGCTGCACAAGACCTTTTGAAAGTGTTCAAGAGCAAAGATGTCAGCTTGAGGACTAAGGTGCGTCTGACCCAAGCCATGGTATTTTCAATAACCTCATATGCATGAGAAAGCTGGACAGTGAATAAGGAAGACCGTAGAAGAATTGATGCCTTTGAGTTATGGTGTGGAGAATACTAATAGTGCCATGGACTGCCAAACGAACCAATAGATCTGTTTTGGAAGAAGTGCAGACAGTGCTCCTTGGAGGCCAGGATGGCCAAACTTCGTCTCTCATACTTTGGACACATTGTCCGGAGAGAACAGTCACTGGAGAAGGACACCATGTTTGGTAAGGTGGAGGGTCAGAGAAAAAGAGGAAGATCCCCAACGAGATGGACTGGCAAAGTGGCAGCATCGAGGGACTCAAGTGTGGCAACAGTAGTGAGGCTGGCTCAGGATCGGGCAGTGTTTAGTTCTGCTGTGCATACGGTTGCCTAGAGTCGGTAGCGACTCAATGGCACCTAACAACTATGGGCTCAAATCATGTTCCTTAGGTTTGAGAATAGTGTAAGGTTTCCCAGTGTAATTCTTACAGTGTGGCTCTTGTTACTACCCTCGAAGAATGAGCAGGTGAATTGTGATGGAAGAAAAATTCTCAGTGCAACTTTTCCTGGCCAATGCAGTTTTCAATTTTCTTAAAACTTCTTTACAAGAAGCCCCCATGATTGTCCTGCGTCCTTTGAAAAAATCTACCAAGATCACCATAACCTTCAGGCACGATCTCAGCAGATCCCCCTTGGAAGGCACTGGTTTGCCTGGACTTCTCTTTGAAGATACCGTAAGGAGGCTACGTGTTATTACTGAGAGAATGTGCCTGTAGCCATCTACTGATCACAAAGACGTTTAAACGTGTTTTGTTTGGAACCATCCTGTGCATGCGTGAACTGGAACCCTAGTAGCAATACTATGACTTCTTGTACACATCAAGGAGCAGAGACTGATCAGGAAACAGGTCAACGCAACGGAAGGTGTGCTCCATCCCCAATTGCTTACTATCATGTCACAGTGATTTTGCAGGTCACCCACAGTCTCAAACAGTGTGAAAGTCGTGGACATGGGTGACTAGGTGACATGAGGGTGCTACAGAGCTTTCAGAGAGCAAAGTGAGGAGTGGGTTCAGTCCTTGAAGGAGTGCGTTGTGGCCACAATAGTAAGAGAAGGGAGGCCCTGGGTGGTGCCACTGGTTCAAGTGCTCATTGCCAACTGAAAGATGGGGGGGAATTGTGTGCCATGGAATTGGTTCTGACTCATAGCAACCCTGGAGAGGGTTTCTCAGGCTGTAAATCTTTCTCCCATGGAACAAGTGGTAGATACGAACTGGTGACCTTGTGGGTAGCAAGCCCACCTCGTAACCCACTATGCTACTAGAGCTCCTTAACTGAAAGGTAGGCAGTTCAAATATACCCAGAAGAAAAACCCGACAATCTGTTGAAAAAAATATTTAGCCACTGAAAACCCTACATAGCACGGTTGTACTCTGACACACGTAGAGATCAACAGTAACCGGTTTGTTTGTTAGTATGAGAAGTCTGGACACCTTTGCTGATCCCATCCCTCTGGTGTGGGTGTGCAGCATGTTCCCAAAACACACCAAGTGCTTCAGCATGGGCAGCCAGGGACAAAGCCTACTCATTTGGGGCTTCAGTATGTGTAGCCCTTTGCACTGCGACACACCTGCCTGGATTGATTTTCTAGCTGATGAGACACAAGTGTGATAGACGTGGAAGTAATGTGGATTTGCAGCCTGGAGACCTGGGACCTAGCCCCTCTCTATGAAGGGATTCGCTCATCCACAAAGCAACTGCATGACAACTAACAGTCCTTCTTAACAATCTTACATGTCTTGCCATTAAGACATTTTCAACATGCACTCACCACAGAAACAGTACAGTGCAGCTACAGTGCAACAGCACCGAGGTGAACTCCCTGTGGCCTCGTGCGAGAAAAGGCTCATCCCACCCCCACCCCGCTCCTCAAGGAGGCACACCTGTCAGCCATCTCTTTCCACTTCATCAGCATCTTTGGTGGCTGCCTCTCAATTGGAAGGTTGAGTCTTCGAAGAAAATAATCTACAACCCCTTGTTCTTCTAACAGCAAGGGGACTCGGTAGATGGAAGAGACATCGTGGACACAGATGACCTGTTGGGGAAAAAAAAAAAGACTATTAAGTGAAAACAAACAAAAACTAGCTAGACTTATAGCTTCCTACTGGCTGAATGTCCTTGGGAAAATATCTGTTCTCAATTTGAAAACAGAAAAAAGACCAATTTCTAGAAAAACATAAATGACAAAGACCAACTCAAAAAGAATACAAAATTAGTGGTTTCTCTATTATGAACATGGATTTAAAAAACAAAAACAAACCCCTTTTAAAAACTCACAAACCAAACCACAAATGTAGTATTTAAAAAATAAAGTCATGCCTAAGTAGCTATTTGTCCCAAGAATGAACCGATGGCTTAACATGGGCACAATGGTTCTCAGAATTGGCTAATCATGAGATTCACTTGGGGAACCAATCAAACTTCAAACAAACATCCTGCATCCCAGGCTGCTTAACTCCGAACCCCTGGGGAAGGAAGCAGACACTAACAGTACAATGGGACTGCAAAAAGTCCATGGAACAATTCCACTATCTTTCAATTCCATTTTATTATTATTTTTATCCATGAACTCTTTGAAGCCCCCGTGTATTTTTTAAAATCTCACCAAATGACTCCAATATGCAGCCAAGTTAGAGAACAACTTGCTAAGGACGCCCCTAAAATGATGTTATAAACCCTCGTCCTTATACCTGTAATCCCTTTGGGGACTAGGGACTTACATTAATGAGGTCAAGTGAGTGTAGCTCACTTTTTGATATGAAAGAGCAGAATAAGCACGGAAGCACAAAAGAGAAAAACTGTGCCAGGTGGAGACCACCCAGGATCCCAGGAACCAAAGCTGGGAGACAAGGATTTCTCCTCAGAGCAGATAGCAAGAGCTTTCTTCTAGAGCTGACACCTTCAAATTCAGATGTCTAGTTTCCTAAATTGTGAGAAAATAAATTTCTACTCATTAAAACCATCCATTTGTGGTATTTGTTATTGTTGCTGTTGTTAAGTGCCGTCAAGCCGGTTCCAACTCAGCAACCCTGTATAGGGTTTCCAAGGAGCGCGGCTGGTGAGCTTGAACAGTCGACCTTGTGGTTCAGCGCATTAACCCATAGCGCCACACCAGGACTCCATTTCTGTTATAGCAGCATTAATAAACTAGGATACCACTTCATTAGGACAGTGGCCAGTGTAATTCAAATATCTAATCAAACAGTCTCAAAATTCCATGACCTTAACGTCTCTTCTGCTGTCCTTCAGCGAAACCTGACCAACACCACCATCTCAACTTGTCATCCTCTAGAATTCCCATACTACTTAGATGTATAGTCCAGGTTCTAACATTTTGGATTTCCTGTACCACAGGTCCCTTCCAATAATAGAGTTAACCAAATGACTGATATATGTTTGAGAGCCTACACCACTCTACACAACTGGCACTAAGTACACAAAATTGATACGGTAGTCTTTGCCCTGAAGCAGCTAACAGTCTACTAGGGGACACAAACACAGACACATTAATGCATTTTGTTATGTGCCGTGGAGTCAGTGCCGATTCACAGTGACCCTGCACAGGGGTTCCGAGGCTGCAAATGTTTATGGGAGCAGATAGCCTCATCTTTCTCCTGCAGAACAGCTGGTAGTTTTGAACTGCCAACCTTGAGGTTAGCAGCCCGATTCGTAACCACTACGCTACCAGAGCTCCTTACATTAATACATTAAGCGGCAGTAATGATTAGGTTGGTCCCTGGGTGATGAAAATGGTTAAGCACTCAGCTATGAACACAAAGGCTGGGGATTTGAATCCACCCAGAGATGACTTGAAAGAAAGGCCTATAGATCTACTCCATAGAGCACAGTTCTACCCTGACACACACAGGTTCACCACAAGTCACGATCAACTCCACTGATAATGGTTAAGATCAGTAGTAAGCTCATCACCTGCATGGAAGAGACATGCATGGAACCTAGAGAAACAAGTGATTAACCCTGAGGTTTGAAAATGAAGAAGTTTGGCAAGCAAAGCTTTTCTGAAAATGCCACGTCCTAGCTGGCATTCATACTCTGAAGGATGACAATGAAAGAGACTGTCAGACCAACAGGGAGAAGGGGAGCTGGTTTCTCACAGAAATTAACAAGTACAAAAGCCCAGAACTAGAAAGAGTGTGCGGCATCAAGGTAAACAGGAAGCAAGGAGAAGGTAGGAGAGGTAAAGGTATGTTTGGGGAACCATAAGAGGTAAGAAAACAATGAATCAGAAAAACAAAGGGCCTCAGTTCTTCTAGTAACAGTTCCACAATCTCAAAGTGCAAAATAACAAGCCTCATGAAGCTGGTTACCACACTTCAAGAGAATTAGAAAAAACACAGATATACCTGGAGATCCAATTGCTACTTACCTGTTCAGGTTCAACATGGCAAAACATGGATATTTTCTCTTTCACTGCTGTGTCAAGAGGATTTGAGCACCTACACACAACCTAGCAGGTAAAGAAAACAAGTCAGTTTAGGTAGAAAGAGGTGACGCAGTTCTGTTTTATTCCTGAATAAAATTAAAACAGATATCAGGCCGCTATGGTGGATTAAAATGTTAATGAGCACAACATCAGTAAACCATGAACAGATATTGCCTATTTTTAGAACTTAGATTCTTAAACCTCTACTCCCAAGAGAATGGCTGTACATTAAGCAGACAGATTAATGAACCTAACTAGGGTTTCCCTCAGGCATTACTGTTCTTGAGTAGGAAGGAAAAGGAGATTAAATGAACAAATGAGAGGAGGAATACAAGCCCTCACACATGCCAGTTAAGGAACTCTTGTAAAATAAGAGCCCCAATTCAAAGCACTAGCTTTATCTCCACCATCAATTATAATCAAAAGTATGCCAAGAAAACAAGTCCTAGAGAGGAGTGATTTGAGTTAGACATACAAGATCAACCAGGTAGTCAGGAAATCTTACCAGATCTGGGGAAAGCCCAAGCCCTCTAAGTTCCCGAACACTGTTCTGAGTTGGTTTAGTCTTCTGTTCCCCTGTTGAACTTGGCTATTTTACAAAAGGAAAAAGAAAAAAAGAATTTCTCTATAATAAACAATTTTCAAGTATGACTTGTCCCTGAATGTTTTTTAAACCTGGAAAAAGATAATCTGACCATTTATAAAATTTATGCTTAATTTTTGTCAATGTTACACATGCATATATTTTAAAGTCAAAGAATTCTGTTTGCTTTAAATAATGGTGACAAGTTTTCACCTATATCCCCTCCCACTTTCCAAACCCCAGAGGCAACCACTCTGCATCTCTTAAACTGATCCTTCTGGCATGCTTTATTGCTACTTCTTGATATCTAGTCTGCGCTAATTTCTAAACAAGGAAGCCTTTTTACCTCCCTGGATTCAGCTGCCATACGCCTGCTACATCAGTTTCTATTTATCCATCTGCTTTCCAGCTTCCTAACTTCTGTTACTGTTGAGTCCTCTCACATTCTACTTATCTTTGTAAATTGCTATCATTAAAAAATATATATATATATCCCTCTAGTTATGAGATTTTGCCATGTGGAAAAGACAAGTGCACACGTTCAAACCTGAATTACAATTCTTTAATTCACAAAACGTTTTCTTCCCAGCTTCCTGCACCACAAATATTTTTTAAATATATGAGATAAAGAGAAAAATTTATCCTTTTCTCTTTTCTGTTCATTCCTCTCAAAGAGAAACTTTGGATGTCTTACCTGAGGAACTAGACTGACATGAATATTGCAAAAGTTCTCTCTTTTGACTTTGAATTGGAATTGACGAAAAGCCTCAATAAACGGCATGCTTTCTATATCTCCCACTGTTCCACCAAGCTAGAAGAAGAAAGTTATTTTAGAGGTTAGTATTCATCCTTCCTCTGATGGGTTCATTATCTAACAACTGGCTCTCGTTCATCTCAATCCAGTATCAAGAAAACAGTATATAACCTCAAACAATTTGGCCCTGTATGGCGCTGTGGATTAATGGGCTGGACTGCAAAGTCTGTTTGAACCACAAGGTCGACAGTTCAACCAGCCGCCCCTCGGAAACCCTAACACAGGGTTGCCATGGGTCGGAATCAACTCAATAGCAATTAACAACAACGTTAGTTAGGACTCCTAATGTGGTGCTGTAAGCTCAACGCTGGACTGCGAACCCCAAAATCAGCAGTTCAAACCCACCAGCTGCTTCTCAGAAATTCTATACAGGGTTCCTATGAGTTGGAATTGACTCAACGGCACTTAACAACAACATTAATTAACAACAATCAGACACTTCCTTATGCTAAAACATTACCTTTTGGGGCAAGTTCACTGTTCCAAACAGTTATTAATGGATTGTTCCATATTAATTCAAATGAAAGGTCAAGTAAGTGAGGTACTTTCGAAAGTCCATCTTATGGGAGTCAAAACCAAAAAAGCCTAATTTTTTTTCTCCTTAGTTAACTAAGATCAATTATAAAATGGCTAGACTGTTTGAATCTCCCATCTTTGAAAGAACATTGTAATTCAATACCCTGAATAGGCATTATGGGCACACAGAAATTGAAACTCAATGAAGGCCACTCAGCGATAACTATTCCTGTCAGAAAGCCAAAGGTCTGTGGACGTTCTCAAGAGGGAGATGATATATGTCACACCACCCTTATTGGTACAATCAGTACCAAGTGAATCTATAAATGCTGAAAGAGGAGAATCACGTGGATGAAGTATGCTTTCCACTGTGTGACCATCCCCCGTCACAATGACCAGACCTGCCACATTGCACCTGAATTCATGGCCGAGACAGGAGACCAAAGGAAATTGCCTTATGGCTGTTGAAGGGTAAACTAAGGAGATGAATATGTGTACTTCTTCATGTAGGCAGGAATCGGGGAGCTTAGAAAAGACGTATACTAACCTCGATAACACACACTTGGGGTTCCAGGCCATCTTCATCCACAGGTATTAATGCCTGTCTCATTACCCACTCCTGGATTGCATCCGTGATGTGAGGGACAACTACAAAAGAGCAAAGAAATGTGTCACCTACACTTTTCCTTCAGCACTGACTTTAAACAAAGGGTCTGGCAGATACAACTTGTGTCAGACTGCCATACTCTTTGTCCTGGTAAGGTAGCAGGGGGATCACATTTTAAATAGCCACAACAAATCATAGGCCTCATGTTCCCTGTTGCTTCCATTCCAGATTTCTAAGTTGTTGCTGGGAGCACTGTAAGAGAGCGAAGCCAAGCATGGCACCCAGAGCCACAGCAGGGCATCTGGCCCTCTGTATTTGCAGAGTACACCCATACTGCTTACAGCCAAGGCTGACGGGGTAAACAACACGCCTGAACGATTTCCCAGGCACAAGAGGCTACTAGGACCCTGTTCCATCACGTTTCCAGTTCCACAGGTACAGGATGGCAAAGGGGCTGGGAGCAGAGCACCTGGCATCAGAATGTCTGCATTCCAACCTCAATTAATAGCTCCACATAACATAAAGCAGAGGAAATTTTATGAGATAACAGTCTAGCATGGAAGTGCTTTACAAGTGTGGGTGATTGTGAAAGAAAAACTTTATAAAAATCATAGCTGCAGGGCTCAGACTGCAAGCGATGATGCAGAGATGAGAATTTAACTTGTAACGTGTGGAACCAGCAGAGCCACCGATCTACTCCACGTACAAGAGCCAAAGCCAAATTTACCACACTGCCCGTCTTTCAACTCTTTAATGGCTTCCGACGGCTCAAAGGAAAATCCAAACTCCTTGCCCCACAGGAAACCTGACTGCAGACCACCACACCAATCTCTCCCACACCCCCACAGTCACCCGTGCCTCAATTACCCTTTTTAGGCTTGGGCCCCTCCCTTCTGCTCTTCACTTGCTGGCCGCTCAGCTCAAATCCTCTACTTGGTGGCTTCCCTGACCATCTGTCCACAGTGGCTCTCCGCAGTCACTCACTCTACTCTCTCCTCACCCTATTTCAGCTACTGGCAGGCACTGCACTAGTTTGTATCTGTTTGTTTGTTGCCACCCCCTAAGCAGCCTCTTAGTGGCTTGGACTGCAGTGGTTTTGTCCATCAGGTATCCCCAGCACTACCAAGGGTCTAACCATGTGAGCTTTCAATACATGTGTGGTGAATGAATGAGTGAATAAATGAATACACTACAGGCCAAGAGCACCAAGCTACATGAGCACAATCATTATAATTCCTAGCTGGTCCCTTTCTGGGTGTCAGGAACTTGTGTTAGGTAGTCAGCAACAAAGAAGGGAGTCTCAAGTCACGTTAGGTATGGTCTGTCTCAGCAGGAAACAAGCCAAACTCAGCAGTGAGGAATTTCTGAAAAAAGGGGTGGGGGAGAGAGGAGACTGTTTGCAAGAGGAAATGAACTTAGTTAAGGGGGGAGGGGAAGAGAGGAGGCTCTAAGAAGAAATAGTTAGTTAATAATAAGCTAAAACTTGAAAGACAAGACTGAAGGGAACCATATATGGACCAATTCCCTAGACTGGCTACTCGGGCACTGGAACCAGGAGCACAGCCCACTCCCCTGACAAAGGGGAATGTATAGAAGAAGCCAAATTGTACTCAGGGCTCCACCTCCTCTTCGTTTGCAAGGTCCCTTCAGTCCCTACTTCTCTGTACAAACTTCTGTGCTAATAAAGCAATCTTTCATTTCTCTAAGCCTCTTGTCTGTCTAACTTCTTTTGCACTGGGTAAGTATGTTACGCCTTCCCAATTCTTTGGAAGGACTACAACAGCACTGTTCCAGGGTCTAAAATTCAACCGTGACACTCGGGGAACACCTTCCGGACTTGGCTCCTACCAACCCAGGGAGGTAGGTACTGTTACTGTCTCTGTTTTACAGAAAAGGGCACCAGATCCCTGCCTATGTTCATGTTCATAAAGCTGGTAAGTGACAGAGCTAAAATGCAAACATACCCAATTTGCCAAAATCTGGCCAGGGCAGCTTCAGGACAAAGTCAGCTGCCCATATGACCCTCACAGCTTTCAGTCTAGTAAAGTCTAAGCCAAGAGATTTACTCCCATAACTCAGTCACTTTTCAGCAAACCTCAACATCTGGACTTATCCGACAATACTGGACTAACAGTTTTCCAACCTCACCTTTTCAAAAGCAGAACACTTTTCTCAAATGAACACTGACTGTGTAAAACTCCAACTACAGCAAACAGATGCAAGCTCAGGAGGCCTAGAGACCACCTGCTCAGACACCACCTCCCACCCACCCCAGGAGGCACCAATGAACAGTCTGAAAACCACAGCCATAATGGTGTGTTTCCTCATCACCAGCTAAACACAGGCAATCCCAGATACACAGCACACACCCCACCTGGGTCAGTGCTCTAATCTAGCTGTCTGCATCATTTCACACTCCTCACAACAGCTCTAGGACTCAAAGCAGGCCACCGGGGCGGGGCGGGGCGGGGCGGGGCGGGGCTGATGCCGTTCAAGGACAGCCATGGGAATTCCCTAATAATACAATACATTGACACTTCCAGGATGAAATTACATGAAAAGTAAATGCTCATACTGAGAAGAAACTAAGCATCATAAAGGTAAATCTAACATTACCTTGGACAGTTTTCCCCAAATAATCTCCTTTGCGCTCCTTGTTAATAACATGCTGGTAGATCTTTCCAGTGGTCAGATTATTGTCCTTGGTGAGGCGGATATCCAGGAAGCGCTCATAGTTACCCAAATCAAGGTCGACTTCTCCACCATCATCCAGCACAAACACTTCCCCTGCAGTGCAGAGTGAAAATGTTTAGGTCTGTGAAAGATACATACACCACGGCACAACTGTATAAATACTTGAAGAGAACAAAGTCTATATTTCTCCAAGAAATGTAGTTCCAGAAAACGAAATGTGCAGAAAAGAACACAAAATTATGATCATTCTCCAAAAGGTGAAGTCACACTTCCAGCCTGTCCACCAACTTACTCTAAATCAGAAAGTTAAAAACAGCATGGGATAAAGAAAGAACATCACTGCCTAGAAGGCTGTGGATATATGGAACTTCACAGCAGGAAACTTTGCATGTGCTACTTAACAGAAAAGGCATTTACAAAATAGTCTCCTAATTGAGTAAATAAGGCTTACAATGTGATAAAATGTATGACTTGATTCAAAATTTATGTAAGATATATGAGAGGCCTTCAAAAAGTTTGTGGAACAATTCCATGACCTTTTCATTCCATTTTTCCATGAACTCTCTGAAGCCCCCTCAGACATAATAAGGTCATACTGATTATGAATCAGCTTCTGGGTTACACTTTAATCCTAAACACAGTTGTGAAACTGAATATTTAACATTCATTCCTTGAAGCTTCATTCTGGAAATTTTTCGCAAAGTGGTTCATTCCTATACCACAACAAGAGACAGGCTTAAAAATGGGAAAAGGACTTAATTCATATATTCCCTTTCAAAGAAATAGCTCAACTATAGCTCAGAAATTTTGTATTAAATATCACTCCAGTCTGTGTATCTTTCCTGACAGTATTTGTTACGTAAAGATTTTATTCTCATGACACTTAGGCATCTATTTCCCCCGTCCCCGACAAGTCTTTGCTTGCTTCTCTGTGCCAAATCTGCTCATTTTAGTTTTCAAAGGTAATTGGCCAAAGGTAACCCTACACTGATAGGGCCTCATCAGATAACTTTATTCCCCTATGGGTTTACCGTCACAAGTATGGAGGTTAGGAATCACACAGATTTCCAGGCACAATTCAGTCCATAAGAGGGTCTGAGACAAAGGTCATATACCACACAGTTAATAGGGACTCAGTATTAACAAAATTTAGCCTCTGGTTAAATACCTCTGCTGGTGGGAACTCACAACTTCTTGAAATTAGCCACCTCACTCTTGAGGAACATTTGATAATACTTTCTTATTTTGGGTCAAAATCTACTCCCCTACAACTTCAATCCACCAAGCCTATTTCTAATGATTGGGACCACAAAAAATAAACAATCTTTCTTCTCAAATATCTGAAAGTTATTATGTCCCCAGATTTCTTCAAGAGAACTGACAAACTTTTATGCCAACTCCCAGATGATAATTTCTACTGCTTCCTCTGTCCAGGTGAGAAAACGTCATTCTGCTATAGCTAGGAAGGAACCTTATTAGAAAGCAGGAAGTGGAAGTTATGTCATGCAAAATAAACACACACTTTCTAAGGGCTACATCATCTTCCACATACTACATAAGCATTATTATTTTTATTTTCAAAGAAAATAAACACATTTTGCTTACCATGCTCATAAGGAGAGAATGTTCCTGCATCAATGTTAATGTAAGGGTCAATCTTAATTGAAGTTACATGCAAACCACATGACTTCAGTATTGTGCCCACACTGCTGGCAAGGATTCCCTTTCCAATTCCTGATATAACACCACCAGTAACGAGAATGTACTTCATTTTAATTTCTGACCTGGAAGAAAGAAAAATTATAGATAAATTATATGTCTCAAGCAACCAGCTTGCTAGCCAGTCGATCTCAACTCATGGTGAGTCCCTGTGTGCCAGAGTCAAACTGCGCTCCATCGAGTTCTCCAATAGCTGGTTTATCAGAAGCAGATTGTCAAACTTCTCTAGGGAGGCACCACTTGGAGGATTCAAAATGCCAACCTCTTAGTTAGCAGACAAGTACTACATTCAAAAGGAAGAAAACTCATAGTTAAAATGTATATCAACCAATCAACTTGTTAAGTGGTTCTGACTCATACTGACCCTGTATAGGGTTTCCGAGGAGCAGCTGGTGAGCTTGAACCACTGATCTTACAGTTCAAACGGTTTTACAGTCTGGTACATTCACCCACAGCGCCACACCAGGACTCCACCACTTACTTGGGTTCAAACACCCAGCTCTGCCGCTAACTAGCTAAGAGCCTTCTTGGGGTCTTGGTTTCCTTGTCTGTCAAAATAACTCCTGAAGGCTGCTGTCAGGTTTGGAATCATAATAAATATTTAGATCTTAGAATATTGGATAATATTAGTCAAACGGGAGTTTTAAAAAACTGCTATTTATATGTAGCTTTTATTTGTAGCTTTGACAACTACCATGAAAATCAAACAATTGAAAAAGACAGGAAATCAACTCTAAACGGTTGATAGGACTCCTGGTGTGGCACTGTAGGATCTGCACAGTACTGGGAACCACAGGTCGGCAGTTCAAACCCACCAGCTGCTCCTTGGAAACTCTATACAGGGCCGCTGTGAGTCAGTCAGCACATAACAACAAGCTGCTGATACAACAGTATGCCCCAGATGTTGACTGGCATCACTGCCAGATGCTGCTAGACCCAGGTAACTGGTTTACTCTTCTTACATGAAAAGAAAAAAACAAAAACAAAAACCCCACCAATGTTGGATAATCAATCCAACCGCCTGTGAAAGTAACACTGTCTTTCTACAATGTATCACCAAGAAAACACAGCTCCTCTCCATGAGCCTAAGAACAAAAGGCAAGAAAAGAAAACTCCAACATTTAAAGGTTACCCATAAACCTAAAATTTTCTTTTGATCACAGACAGTTCTCATCTGTAATTTAATAGCAACCTGCTCTTTGTCACCACCAATCTCTCCCAGATAGGCCATGAAGAAAGACTATGTACTGGGGAAAAGGACATCAGATAATAAAGCCATGTGAAGCACATCATAAGCAGAGGCCTCAAAGAGAGGGCAGATGAGATTTAATTCCAAGAGTACTACAGCTCTGGCAGGGAATGGAAGAACAGATTTGATGACAGATAAAAGGGCAGCAACAGCCAAAAGCAGGTGAAACCCCCACAGACAAGAGTGCTTGTAGTTAGAACAGGGAAGAGAGGTCTCAAGCTACTCTAGGTATGGTCTCTCTCAGCAGGAAACAAGCCAACTCAGCAATGAGGAATTTCTGAGAGGAGAGGTGGGGGAGAGAGGAGATAGTAAGAACACATGACCTTAGTTAAGGGGGGTGGGGGATGGCGCTGTGGACTATGCGTCAGACTGCAAAGTTGTTTGAACTGCAAGGTCGGTGGTTTAAGCTCACCAGCTTCTCCTTGGAAACTCTGTACAGGGTTTGCTGTGGGTCAGAATCGACGTGACAGCACTTAACAACAACAAGGCAGCAGTTCAAACCCACCTGCTGCTCCTAAGAAACCCTATACAGGGTCCCTGAGTCAGCAGGAACTGAGTAAAGAGGACTTAACAACAAGGAACTCTCAGTAAGGGCATCTATGCTAATTAAACCCAAGCCTCCAGTTTTTCTAACTTCTTTTGTGTGTTGTGCCTTTCCCAGTTCTTTGGAAGGACACTCTTAACACCTTTCCAGGCACAATTCAACTGTGATAAGAGGAGAAGAGACACCCTCAGTGAGGGTTTATTGCTACTTCCCAGCTTCAGAGGCCCAAGAGGGTAATTTGGTCAGCCCACCCAAATGTGATCAAAATGAGAAACACAATCACCAAGCCCCACTGAATGCTTGCTCTGAAGTAGTCAGGGGGCTTTCCACCCCTGGGAACACACCACACAAAGCCAAATTATAATAAAAATAAGTTACAAAAAAACAAGGAAACTGAAGAGTTCAGCCTGAAGCATTCCTCCCACCCCTCCCCCAAGGCAGGAAGGAAAGCGTCTGGAAGGAGGGAAAAATGCTCACAATGCCTTCCGTCTCATATTACAGCTTTGACAACTACCGTGAAAAATCAACCGATTGAAAAAGAAAGAAACCCAACTCTGAGCTGTTGGTACAACACTATGCCCCAAATGTTGGCTGGCATCACTGCCAGATGCAGCTAGACCCAGAACGAAAGGCACATAGGATTCCCAGAAGGGATTTATGGATAAATAAGTTAGAGAAAGGTTGGTTAAACAAAGTCAACCGGTTTCGACAACTTTAAATGTACACTGGTGGTTAGAGGTGGGTAATGTGCTGTGGAGTCGGGTTCTGACTCACAGCAAACCTGTATAGGGTTTCTGAGGATGTAAATCTTTACAGGAGCAGAAACTTTCATGGCTCTCCCATGAAACAGCTGGTAGATTCAAACTGCTGACCTTGTGGTTAGCAGCCCAACCTGTAAGGGGCGCACCATGACTCAGTAGGATAACCACAAAGTCAGCGGTTCAAGTCCACTGGGAGAAAGATAAGGCTTTCTCTACTCCCACAAAGATTTCCAGCCTTGGAAATCCTGTTGTTAAGTGTTGGTGAGTCGGTTCCGACACACAGCAAGCCTGTACAGGGTTTTTGAGCAGTTGGTAGGTTTGAACTGCTGACCTTGTGGTTTGTAGTCCAGTACTGATCCTACAGTGCCACACCAGGAGTCCTGGAGACCCTACACAAGATCAGAATCGACTGTTGTTAAGTGCTGTAGAATTGGTTCCGACCCATAGTGACCCTGCATACGTTTTCTGAGGAGCAGCTGATGAGCTTGAACCACAGACCATAAGGTTCAAAGCGACTTTGTAGTCTAGCGCATTAACCCACAGCACCTCCAGGACTCCTCAGAACCAAATGGATGGCATTTAACCCTTATTATCTAGGGGGAAATCCGAGTACTCTCCTGACCATCTGCGGCTCTGTTAGGCCAGCACTGAACTGGTAACCACAATGTCAGCAGTTTCCAACACACCAGCTACTTTTGGAAACCCTATACAGGGTCATAAGGAGCTCTGGTCACGTAGTGGTAACAAATTGGGCTGCAAACTGCGCCCAAGATCAGCAGTTCGAAACAACCTGCACTTCCATGGGAGAAAGATAAGGCTTTCTGCTCCCATAAAGATTTATAGCCTCGGAAACCCTGTACAGGGTCGCCATGGGTTGGAACCGACTCCACGTCACGTAACCACCAACCACTATACAGGGTTATGGCGCTGTAGGATAGGCATTGGACTGCAAGATTGATTTGAACCGCAAGGTGGCAGTTCAAACCCACTAGTCACTCCTTAGAAATCCTATACAGGGTCGCTATGAATCAGAACAGACTCAACAGCACTTAACAACATACAGGGTCATGCGTCATAACCACCTAAACAGCACACAACATCACACCCTGACCTTCTGCTTACAGTTGAATGGTTCCCATTTACACATTAACTATCACACTTGGCTACATTTTAGATACAGGCTGCGAACCTTAAGGTCAGCGGTTCGAAACTACCAGCCACTCCGCGGGAGAAAGATGAGGCTTTCTACTCCCGTAAAGATTTACACCCTCGGAAACCCTGTACAGGGTCGCTATGGGTCGGAACCGACTCCACGGCACTTAACAACAACAACAACCAGACATAATGCTTGCTGGGAGGTAACTAGGCATAACCCTAGCCTGGTGTCACTCACTGATAAACATTTGATGTCCCTAGAAATTCCTTATTGAGTGAAGACTAGTCTCATCTCTTTGTATTCGATGTGCCCCAATTTTACTCTTTTGGTTAGATGCTTGCAGTCTCCCACAGTGCCTGCAATAAATATTCCTACGTATACAGAGACCCAGAGACCAGGCTGTTCACATTTATGGCCTACCTAGTATGTCTGAGTTACTGTGCTAAACACTGAGGACCACAAAAATTAATCTGATATAGGCCAGGATCTCAAGTCGTGATTGTCCAGTTAGACATGTAACACCTAAAATAAATGAGTAATCCAGTGATGGTGATAAGCAGACAGACAAATGCGAAGGGTATAAAAGAAGAGATAACAGTTTTCAGTAAAGTACCATGGGCCCATCAGAGGAAGATGAGGAAGTAAGTACCACTTGCAGACCTCTGCTCTGTAGATCTGAGATGGACCATCTCGTAATGCTATTGATGTGTCTCAATTTACCCAGATGACCACTCAAGACTCACAGGATCAGCAAGGAAGCCTTTATTAGCTGGCCAGCGACTACAGCCTCCCTAAAAGCGGGAATGACTACAGCCCTAACCCAATTTTTCAAGGAGAATTTATACATAGGCAATGGGACATAATCTTGCACAAACTAGGGGTAGGGTATATGCATAAGCCATTAGGGTGGGGCTAGGGGTTCATCAGCTGGGTTATCTTGAGAGTTATCTTGAGAGAGCAGGGGTCAGAGGTATGCCTAAGCTGTCTGACAGAAGCAAAAATAAGCTATCGGTGGGAGGGGGAGGGGAGGTGCAGCTGAGAAAGGTCCTACTTACAACTTTTCCACTCAGGCAGGATTTGAACACACAGGGGCTACTCATGATTCAAAAATGGAGTCAGAGTAACTTTACACTATCAAAGTCAGTTCTGACTCATAGCAACCCTGTATAGGGTTTCTGAGGAGTAACTGGTGGGTTTGAACCACCGACCTTTCAGTTCAAGCCGATTTTGCAGTCCAGTGGTTTATCCTACAGTGCCACACCAGGACTCCATGGAGTCAGTTCTGACTCAGCGACCACGTGTAGGGTTTCCGAGGCTATAAATCTTTAGGGGAGCAGGAAAGTCTCTCTCCCACAGAACAGCTGGTAATTCCTAACTGCTGACCTGAGGTTAGGAGGCGGACGGGTAATATTATGCTACCAAAATTCCTTTGAAGGACTGTTGTTGTTATTAAGTGCAGTCCTGTCGGTTCCGACCCATAGCGACTCTGTATAGGGTTTCCAAGGAGCAGCTGGTGAGCTTGAACTGCCAACCTCCGTTCAAACGGCTTTGCAGTCTGGCGCATTAACCCACAGTGCCACACCAGGAGTCCTTTGCCATTGAGTTAGTTAGGACCCATGTTGTTGTTAAGTAATGCGGAGTCGGTTCCGACTCATAGTGACCCTGCACAGGGTTTCCGGGGCAGTAAATCTTTACGCGAGCAAAAAGCCTCATCTTTCTCCCGCGGAACGGCTGGTAGTTTCGAACTGCCGACCTTGAGGCTAGCAGCCTGATTCGTAACCACCATGCTACCAGAACTCCCAGCGACCCTGCATAGGGTTTCCGAGGAACAGCTGGTGAGCTTGAACCGCCGACCTTGCAATTCAAACGGCTTTGCAGTCTGGTGCATTAAACCCACAGCGCCACATCAGGTAGCTTAAAAAAATGTGGGAAAGGGAACAGCCAGAGCAGCAGGAAGGTGAGGGTCACCTTTGGAGAACAGGGGGAGGGCCAATTTTGTTGTACAAGATAAGGGTCAGGGTGGTGGACAATAAGTTGGAAAGGCAAGCAATGTCCTGCTCTGAACTCTATTCTGATGGTGATGGGGAGCTACCTGAAGGTTTTCATGCACACATTAATAGAACTGAAAATACAGCAAAGGAATTTATTAATGTAAGCCAAGAATCAGCAGAGGAATTCAACCAAGATGGTGGAGGGGGAAGACAAAAAAAAAAATCTAGAAATCGAGCTTTTTTTTGTTCCTTAACGTTGTGAGGTCAAGTTCCAGCAGCTCCAACCACTTGTGCACAAGTGGTTCAAGCTGCCCGACATCTGTAAAATGTGGGTGCTGATCTCCGCATCGCCGGTGTCAGCACAGGACTGCTGAAGATTCAAAATTATAATAATGAGTAGGGGCGTAAGCGCGCCTCGCAAACGTAGTGAACTTTATAGAATGCCAGCATCCTCAGCACCGGCGGCGGAGGGAGGGAACAGCTGTAGGGTTTAAGGGGGCAGTAGGGGCCGGGCTCAAAGGCACCTTCCACCCCCCGGGAGTCGAGGGCGCCACGTCCCCGCACGCACGGAAGTCGAGGGGGCCACCGCTAGGCCTGAACCCATCCTCCACCGCGGCGGGCCCGTCTCGGACTATGACCTCCCATCCCAGGAAGAAATGATCAGTGCTTTCAAGGCAGAGGGTCGAGGATCGGGGTAACCCGAATAGAGAGGTGGCCTCCGGGGCTTTCTCGGGGGACAGAGGGCTAAGAAAAGGGCGTTCCCGCGCCCCTGCGGCCCTCTCAGTCCCAAGAGCCATCGCTGACTTCGCCGAGACCAGCCAGGCAGAAACGAGAGCTACCCGGCCCTGAAGCCCGGGGTCCGCGGCCTCTTCGGCCGCCCCACGCCCCTTCGGCCCCCGTTCCACCAGTGCACGGCCACGCGGCCCCGCGCGCGGGAGCCGGCACCTAGTCGGCCCGGGCTGCCCGCCCCACTCCGGTTAGGCAGCAGCTCATTGGGTAGGAAGCCTAACCACTTCACCCCTGATTGGTGGGAAGCCGTGTCTGTCACCCGGCGGTGTGGCCGTCCCGCGCCCGGCTCCGCTCGCACCGCTGATTCCTGCATGGAAGAACAGTTCCCCCGGGATCCCTGGAGTCTGCCTACCTGACACCGGCTTCAAATCAGCTAAAGAACTAAGTCTGCAATGCACGCGCCGAGCCACCGCAGCCAGTGAGCTAGCTCGGCCGCATGCGCCCGGCAGTCTTTCACGGAGGCGGGCTCTAGGCGGTGCGCACGCAGAGGGCGGGGGCGGGGCGGGGCCCCGAAGCGAGGGGGTGGAGGGCGCCGAGACTCCGAGTGCGCAGGCGCGGGAGCCGACTTTCTTTCTAGGCCTGGGGCTAGCTGATCTAGTGAGCAGTGGAGGTTGCTGCTCAGGCTTCGTAGATTTGCAGCTGGCCAAGTAGAGCAGGCTGTGGCGATTCGGCCTCGCAGCTTTTATCAAAGTCGGTAGTTCTAACGTTTCCTGTGACTCACGCCTTGCAAATCCGTCGCCTGGCTCCAAACCTCTACCCCAAAAACGTATTGAAGTTTTTGTCATCCACTTTCTGAGAACTGCCAGCTATTTAACGTTTGATCTGTAAGAAGACGTTTATGATTTCGCTGAACCCTCGACCTAGGGTGACCCCGGCCTCTAAAAGAGAAGTTCAAGTGGGCTGCTAGGCGCTGAGTCTTTTCCCGACTGCCTTTCTCCCCATATCTGCCCTGTCACCGGCTAATTTAGATGAACAAAGGGTCCAGGAATGTATGAGTTATCCAGCTAATAATCGCTGAACACCCACTGTGTGCTACGCAGCCACTTTGTCAATACAGACTGAGTAAGCTGAGGATTTGGCACAATGGCTGCTCACACGGTGATGAGTGGGCAGTGTTTCATGAATCAGAACCGACCTGACAGCACCAACATAGACCCTGTCCCACGAAGTCAAAGGATGGAGTGAGGCAAACTGATGAGCTAATTATTTATTACAGTGTTCATAAGTGCCTGGTGCGGAAGTACTGAGTGCCACGAAGTCCCATCAGGGTCTGACCAAGTCTGGATTGGGGTCTGGGAATTCAGGTAGGGAAAATTTCCTTGCAAAGGTGACTTTAAAGCTAGGACCTGAAGCTTACTGGTAAAGAAAGGGGAGGAAGAGGTGGGCATGAGAATGAATTAGGTGACGCAAAGCAAATATAAAGAGTGTGGTGGAGAAGAGCCAAGCCCAGCAGACCAGAAAAGGCCAGTGTAGCTAGGTGATGATTGACCAGCATTAGGTCAAGCTGAAGAGGTCGGCAGTGCTCATCAGGTTAAGGATTTCCTTTTTCCCAAGGACAGTTGTTGTTAACTGCCCATTGAGTCGCTTCTAACTCATAGCCACACTGTATTGGGTTTTTCAGGCTGTACATCCTTGGAGTAGAAAAACTCATCTTTCTCCCACAGAGTGGCTGATGGGCTTGAACCACAATGGTGGTGTTGGTGGTGTGCTGTGGAGTCGGTTCTGACTCATAGTGACCCTGTAATATAGGATTTCTGAGACTGTAAATCTTTGGTGGTGGTGGTGTGCCCTGGAGTCGGTTCTGACTCATAGCGACCCCGCATACTGTTTCTGAGGTGGCAAATCTTTATAGGAGCAAAAAGCCTCATCTTTCTCCCATGGAACAGCCGGTAGTTTCGAACTGCTGACCTTGAGGGTAGCAGCTCAACTCGTAACCACTACACTACCAGAGCTCTTTGAACCATAATAGAAAGCCAGAAAAGCCTTTTGAGTAGAAGGATTTTGTTTTGTTTTGTTTTTAATAGTAAACATGCACCCCCCCCCACTCCCACCCCTCAAAACCCCCACTATACAAGGGTATACATACAAAGTCTCCCACCTTTGTATCCCAGTCCAGGGACCAATCTCTGGAAACATCATACTTGGTAGAATAGTGAGTCAGTGAAAAAGAAGACAGCCCTCAACAATGTGGATTGACAAAGTGGCTGTAACAACGGATCAAACATAGCAACGATTGTGGGGATGGTGCAGGACCTGACAGTGCCTACTTCTGACTCAGAGTCACCTAACAATAACAACTGTACCCAAGTATTCTTATTTTCTTCCCCAGAAGCAATTTGTCACAAGTTCTTACATAGTCTCATTGAAGGCTTTAAAGCAAGAGTATGACATAATCAGATCGTGTTTCTGGACAAACACTCACTCAAACAAATAGAGTCTAAGAGACCAGTTCAGAGACTTCTGCAGTGACCCCCAAAAGAGGCTTCTGGTTCCTTCCAACTCTGGTTCACCACTGGTCTTCCCCTGCCATATTGCCCATGCTGCCCTCAGCTCTATGTCTAAGAAATGCTCAGGATGGGTTTGGAGGTGCCACACTTATGAAACATAATAGACACAGAACATATTTGCTGAAGTCATGAAGATGCTGTGGTGGTGGTGGTGTGACGTGGAGTCAGTTCCCACTCACAGCAACCCTGTACAGGGTTTCCGAGGCTGTAAATCTTTAAGGGAGCAGAAAGCCTCATCTTGCTCCCGCAGAACAGCTGGTAGTTTCGAACTGTTAACCGTGAGGTTCACAGCCCGATTGGTAACCACTACGCTACCAGGGCTCCTTTGAAGATGGTGGTGTTGTTGTGACGTGCCATCGAGTCGATTCCGACCCATAGCGACCCTGTATAGCGTTTCCAAGGAGCAGCTGGTGAGCTTGAACCGCCAAGCTTGCAGTTCAAAAGGCGTACGAGATGTTAAAATGAACCATTCATTTGACCACTTTTCTGGATGACTTTACATTTCTTCTTCTTTCTCAGACCTTTCTACCTGTCATCTCCTTCTTCATATGCTCTCTCTGAGAAAATAGAAGCCCTGAGAAGAGAACTTCCACAGGTTCCCACCACCATATCCATCAACTGCCTTTAACATGAGCATATTAGCTCTGACTTCTCTCCTGTGACTGTGGACAAGCTGTCCGTGCTCCTGAGGAAGGTCAGCCTCTCCTTGTTGCATACTGTACCCTATTCTCTCACCAATTGAAGAATATCCTAACAGTTCTCCTCCCTCCTGCATCATCAGGGTCTCCCTCTCGGCAGCTTGGTTTCCACTAACATAGTGCAAACATGCTGTAGTTTCTTCCATCTTAAAACACAACCAAACCTCTCTCTTGACTCCATATCCTTCTGCTCTGTACTCCATGCTCCTTTTTTGCACAACTCCTAGAAAGAGTTGTTTGTACTTGTCACCGATTCCTTGCCTCCCACTCTCTTCAACTCGCTTGGACACGTGTATTTCCATGGAACCTGCTCTTGTCAAAGATTATCATCCTGTTCTCTGACCTCTTCTGCATACATCAGCCTAGACTGTGATCTCTACAACCTATTCACGATGTTCATAAGCCCCAGAGAAAGATAACAGTGTAGGAGCATATACATGGTGTGGGTGCACCTCTGTGTGTGTGTGTTTGCATGGTTGGGCTGTCTTCTCCACCTTGGCCTCACAGACTCCCTGCGGTCTTCTGGATGCTGCCATATTATCCTGAGAGCTGCCCGCCAACAGGCCAACAACAGCACTGATCAGTTAGTCACGCTCTCCATGAAATGTACTTTTTACTAGTTTCTGGGAATTCACTTTATCTCAGTTTTTCTCCTATTTCACTGGCCTGTCTTTCTGAGTCCCCTTTCCTAGATCCTCTCCCTGACCTGTAGGCATAGGAATGGCCCAGGGCTCAGTCTTAGGAGCATTTCTCTATCTGCAATCACTCTCTAGATGAGCTTGATTAAATACCAGACTCTTAAAATACCACTTATATTCTGACAACTCCCAAATAGTTATTTCTAGCCTGGACCTCTCCCTGAACTCCAGATATGGGGTTCCTTCTAAGCACAGTGTCCTAAAGTCAGCCCTGGACAAGGCTAAGGAAGGTCAGCCCTTCTTCATGCAGAATTGCCATTCATGTTCTAGAACTCCCCATGGAAACCCTCTGAGGGTAGATTCAACAAAACCAGGCATCAGCAAACAATTCCTTTAAAGGGCCAGACAGAATCTTTTAGATGAGTCATACAATCTGTTGCAGCTACTCAACTATGTAGTTGCAGGGCAAAAGTTGTTGTTAAGTGCTGTCAGTTGGTTTTGTCTCATAGAGACCCTATATAGGGTTTTAACCTTCTGGTTCAAACCAACTTTTTGGTCTAGTGCTTATCCCACAGAGCCACACATAGCCATAGACTATGTAGGATCAGTCCTGGACTGCAAACCACAAGGTCAACAGTTCAAACCCCCACCAACTGCTCTTCAGAAACTCTATACAGGGTCACTATGAGTCAGAACCAATTCAACAGCACTTAGCAATAACAACAACATGTTGTAATAAAACTTTATTTACAGAAATTGATGGTGGACCAGATTTGGCCCAAAAACTGAAATTTGCTGAGTCCTGAGCTAAACACCTATCTTTTCTCATTTCTTTCCTGCCCTTACATTCCCTTGCAAGTTTCACCTAAGAGCACTTCATCAATCATTCACTTGTAAAGAATCCCATCTCAGACTTTGTTCCTACGAAACCCAGCTTAACACAGCACCCCTTCTACAGGCCCCGGAGGGCAACTGATGCTCACCATAAGGCATTTATCACAGGTGTGTTGAAACTCCCTGTTTACTGGTTTTGGCCTCCACCCCAGATTGAAATCTCTATGAGATTACCTAACCTTTCTGTGCTTCAGTTTCCATATCAGGTACAGTGTCTGCTCTCCTTTTAATAACCAGGGTCTAGCAGATTTCTTACTACTACCCTATAATGCAAATGCTATTATTGTCAAGCATAATACAGTGGAGGCAAAGACCATATCTGGCGTTCTAATAGATTACCTGGGTGGAAAGAGGGCAGACAGGCGGGAGACTAATTGTGGATTTAAATTTGTTGACTGGGAATAATTATACTAAAATTCAAGTTTATTTCATTTTAATCTATAAACAGCACAAAATTTGAAAGGTAAAAAGGTATAGATAGTAAAATCTCTCTCCCAAACCTATGCCCCCAGTCACCTGGCTTCCCTTCCAGAGATAATCATGTTACCAATTTCTTGTTTAGCCTTCAAAAGATACTCTATGCCTCTGTATATAATCCTTCTTTGTTGGTTATTTATTGTTGTTGTTAGATGCCCTTGCATCGGTTTCGACTCAGCAACCCTAAATACAACAGAATGAAACACTGCTCCATTCTGTGCCATCCTCATAACCTTTGCTTTGGTTGATCTCATTGTTGGCAGCCACTG